TTGAAAACATAATTGAAGATATTGTCAACTTGTCGAAAGATCTAGACAGCAATGATTACATTTTAGTTTTGGCAGGGTCAAACGATTTTAGGGCGAATAAATATCCTTCATTCAGAAAAATCAATAGTCTTCTAAAACTCTGTACAAATACAAACATAATACTATCTTCTATACCCTATGGAAAGGTGTATAGTGTTAATCAACTTATCTATAAATTCAATATCAAATTATACGAATACACAAAAAAGCTAAATTATTATGCTGAAGGAGATATTTTTTTCTTGGAGATTAACACCCGCGGTGGTAAAAAGCTTAAAATTTATACCATAGGGAAAAATGTATTAAACTATAACATTCTAACGAAAAAACAAGGGAATAATTTGAAATATGTCTCTATATGCGACGATTTTTTAGATCAAGCTCATAACATCCTTTCTATAGACCTGTGATATTCCGAAAAATTGATTCCAAGAGTGAACAATGTTCTGGAAATGATAACAGTGGTTACAATTTCAAATCTAATACAAAAACATTCACATTATTTTTACTGAATATTCAGGCCCTCAGACGTAAAGTGTGACGAACTTTATGTACTTCTGAATACTCTGAATTTTCCCAGTATAGTATTGTTAACACTCTGGTATGCAGAAACTCAAGAGCATACTCAAACCACGGGGAAACAGTTATTCTGGTGGCTGACACTGTAATTACCGATTACTCTTTCTCTCAAATCGAAAAGTTCAGTGACCTCTTGGATGATAAAACATTTGAATTCACAATCTGCTTTAGCAAAAAATATAATTTATATGTTGTTTGTTTTTATCGATCTCCCGCTACGGATGTTAGAATATTTTTGAGAAAACTAGAGCTACTCTTGTCTGACCTGCCGATAAATAGTTCTATAATCGTAACAGGTGATTTCAATATCAATTACAATGACTGTGATTCTTTGGTTAATGAGTCACTGAAGAACTTACTTTTATCATTTGACTAAAGTATGCACGTTGATACGGATTCTCGCATCTCTCGATTTTCTGCATCCTGCATCGACTATGTCTGTAGCAATATTGACAAGCAAAATGTTTCATGCACAGTTATTCCATCAGGATTATCTGATCATGAAGCAGTGATATGTTCTATTCTGTTAAAATCAACAGAAAAACAAACCATACATAAGTATGGTAGATTGTTCAGTCGTTCAAACTATCATAGGTTCTATCAAAACTGCCTTGAAATAGACTGGGTGAGCATGCTCTCTGAATGTGACCCCTTTTTTATCATTCCACAGTGCATAACTGATGTGTTCAATAAGTCGTTTCCAGAACAAATAATTAAAAATGAATGTGAAAACGTCCTCTAGAAACCTGCGCTCACTGCATTATATCAAAAAATTCACAAATGAAACATTTTTCTGGAACTATTTCAATTATTACAAAAAAGTATATCGATCCACTATCAGTCTAGCTAAGAGAATATATTACGGCAACAGAATGGGGAAATCGAAGAATAAAATTAAAGAATACATTATTTCAACTTGATATAGGTGCTGTTGCCAATATGTGAATTAGAAACAAATCCCTTTAAAAATTAAAACCAAACATTTGGAACATCAATATGAATACTTTTCGAAGTGAATTTGAAAAACTTATGAGTTAAACTCCACTTTATTTTGTTCAAACTTGCATTTGCTGTAATAACCCAAATTGAGAAACATTCCCCATTATGGTTAACATTCTTCCACATCTAAATTAGTTTCAAATGGCAATGAAGTTGATTTTGATCTATTTCATATTTCTGAAGGTAGTCTTAGGAACAGATTCTACTACTACAACATCAACTACGTTGATGTTGAAAGTGGAAATAGGTTGGCTCTGATTGATGATCAAAATTTAGTGGTTGAAACTTAATCAAAAACTTCGGTCTTTTTTCTACTTGTTATGCAACGCATTATCCAGTTTTTGCGTCAAAGTTATCTGTGTTGGACTTTGGTGAAGTGCATAAATAAACTCAGAAGAGTGCATTATAGTTGTAAAAGTAGATTTGGCTACAAAAACACATAGATAAAGCTACAAAAAACGAAGGGTAAGAAATTCTATTCAGAGGATCGTGCCCGGACAATATTGACGTCGATTTTATTCTTGAGAGGTTTAATATCCAATTTAATTGAACACTAATTTAGAAAAATATTATTTCGTCAGAATGTCCAACAATTTCAAGTGTTGCAAAGGCAAAGAGTGTCCAACTTTTTTTTGCGCTCAGTGTTTTAATATGTTCCACGCTAGCTGTGTGGACAGGGTAAAACACATCACAATGGGAGGTACTAAAATACTATGCTCTAAAGAGTGCGTAAAGAAAAATAAACAAGAGGCAGAACTACTTAAAAAAAGTGAAGACATAATAAATAAACTTAAGAAGGATAATGCAGAAAAAGTGATAATCAAGAGAAGGACAGCTACCTTAAGAGATTGAGAAGAGCCTCAAGCGATTTTCAAGATGAAGCTGCCAGCTTGGAGGAGGATCTTATGAAAAACATCAAAAAACAGGAAAGCGAACTGACAAAACTGAACTCGGATAAAGATAAATTGGCACTGAGAAATAAAGATCTCCAGATAAAATTGGATGAAACATTGAAAGATGTCTAAACTGGAGGAAGAACTGGGCGAACTCAACAAAATCAACAAAAAAATGCTTACATCGATAGAAACTCTTTCAGCGCAAAATCAAGTAAATTTGAATGAAATCGAATGTATCCGACAAGAAAATTCGACATTGAAATTAGAAATAAACCAAATAACCAAATGTGACACTCAACTGAGACCTGGTCCTAGCTCATCAAAAACCGAGGACAAAATACTGCCAAACAATTTTGTGGAAGAAAATAAGCCTTATGAAACTTTGAAAAAATTGACTGAATCATCAGATGTAGAAGATGATGATAGAACATATGTAAGCAAGTTGTGTATGGGTCGAGGCTCTCCAAAAAATCAAATCCTTATTTTATGCGATGATTTTGGATATGGTTTGGGAGAAATGATATCTAGATTTTATAGGAATAGGTTTACTGTTCAAACTATCATCAAACCAGGAGCGTTGTTTGAAAACATAATTGAAGATATTGTCAACTTGTCGAAAGATCTAGACAGCAATGATTACATGTCAGTTTTGGCAGGGTCAAACAATTTTAGGGCGAATAAATATCCTTCATTCAGAAAAATCAATAGTCTTCTAAAACTCTGTACAAATACAAACATAATACTATCTTCTATACCCTATGGAAAGGTGTATAGTGTTANCAAATACAAACATAATACTATCTTCTATACCCTATGGAAAGGTGTATAGTGTTAATCAACTTATCTATAAATTCAATATCAAATTATACGAATACACAAAAAAGCTAAATTATTATGCTGAAGGAGATATTTCTTTCTTGGAGATTAACAGCCGCGGTGGTAAAAAGCTTAAAATTCATACCATAGCGAAAAATGTATTGAACTATAACATTCTAACGAAAAAACAGGGGAATAATTTGAAATATGTCTCTATATGCGACGATTTTTTAGATCAAGCTCAGAACATCCTTTCTATAGACCTGTGATATCCCAAGAAATTGACTCCAAGAGTGAACAATGTTACAATTTCAAATCTAATACAAAAACATGCACATTATTTTTACTGAATATTCAGTCCGTCAGACGTAAGTGTGACGAACTTTATGTACTTCTGAATACTCTGAATTTTCCCAGTATAGTATTGTTAACAGAACATTGGTGTAATAGTAATGAGCCTATATACATACCTTGCTACTCTGTGTTATGCAGAAACTCAAGAGCAAACTCAAACCACGGGGGAACAGTTATTCTGGTGGCTGACACTGTAATTACCGATTACTCTTTCTCTCAAATCGAAAAGTTTAATGATCTCTTGGATGATAAAACATTTGAATTCACAATCTGCTTTAGCAAAAAATATAATTTATATGTTGTTTGTCTTTACCAATCACCCTCTACGGATGTTGATATATTTTTGAGAAAACTAGAGCTACTCTTGTCTGACTTGCCGATAAATAGTTCTATAATCGTAACAGGTGATTTCAATATCATTTACAATGACTGTGATTCTCTGGTTAATGAGTCACTGAAGAACTTACTTTTATCATTTGACTTGAGTATGCACGTTGATATGGATACTCGCATCTCTCGATTTTCTGCATCCTGCATCGACTATGTCTGTAGCAATATTGACAAGCAAAATGTTTCATGCACAGTTATTCCATCCGGATTATCTGATCATGAAGCAGTGATATGTTCTATTCTGTTAAAATCAACAAAAAAACAAACCATACATAAGTATGGTAGATTGTTCAGTCGTTCAAACTATGATCGGTTCTTTCAAAACTGCCTTGAAATAGACTGGGTGAGTATACTCTCTGAATGTGACCCCTTTTTATCATTCCACAATGCATTGTCTGATGTGTTCAATAAGTCGTTTCCAGAACAAATAATTAAAAATAAATGTAAAAAGCCATGGGTGACAAAAGGACTGAAAACATCTTCTAGAAACCTGCGCTCACTGCATTATATCAAAAAATTCATGAATGAAACATTTTTCTGGAACTATTTCAATAATTACAAAAAAGTATATCGATCCACTATCAGTCTAGCTAAGAGAATATATTACAGCAACAGTTGAGTAACACAATTCATGCTCCATATGATCCATTGATCAACTTCATGACATTAAAAATTAAAACATGGCCGGATATATTTCCGTTAAGATTCTCTTGAATTTACCACTCAATGCTCTAGAAACTTTGGTCGCCCTTATTAATACCTCATTCAGAACTGGCTCATTTCGTTCTTCCCTGAAGACTTCTGTTGTCATTCTACTACATAAAGTATTTCTTGGACTTTGTCAATAAGATTCAAATCTTCGGACAATAAAGTATATTAACAGGGCTGAAATATTGAATATAAAGATTTTCTATTACCATAATGTTATTAGCATAATTAAATTTAGGTTAGTAGCAGTATTTCTTAAATTTATAGAATGTGTGTATACTACTGGGAGTTACTTATAAATAAATTAATAAATCAATATTTTACCATCACTGCTTTCTTCAGAACTTGTTTCGCTGGAACTGCTAGAGCTACTGCTGCTACTGCTTTCTTTCCCAACTGCTAAATTCAATTCAGTGTTTTTAGGAATATTTTTCAGATGTTCCCTTAGTTCATCTGTTAATCCTCCAAGACCAATAGACGTAAAGAAATTAATAGAAAATCTCGTGTTTTTAGGACTATCTCTTGGAAACAAACCAGCAAAATGCTCCTGAAGAGTTCTAAAAAAAATAATTAAAAATTTGTAGAAAATATCGATTATGGATAACTCACTCATCTTTCAGTCTGGTATTCAACTTCCCAAGGCCCATATATTCTGCAAGTTCTTGAAAGAGGATTTTAATGAATATTCTACTGGAACTATTAGTATCTTCTTCATTGAGTTTCATTATTTCTAAAACTTCCCAACTAATTGCATCGGTAAACAGTAAATGAGCAAAGAATTTACTAACATTCCTTAGTCTGTTGGCATCAAGTCTGTGAGTAGTGGCATATGTATCTTTAAAAATTTTTTGAAAAGGCTCAATATAAATTTTATTAATTTGGCAAAACCTTTGCGCCAATAACCCATAAAACTTCTCATATGTACGCTGTTCGGCACAACAATCTAAAAACATATGACAGAGTTCTATTTCCTGTCCTGGTTTGAGTTCCATTTTTAGGAGTTTGTGAGCACATTCTTCAAAATCCAAACTAGACTGTATTGTAAGATATATTGTCCTTCTCAAAACTATCAAATTAGTTTCGGTATTGTCTATTATTTTTCCTTGATCCTTCACTTCTTCATCTTCTTCATCGTCTTCGGAACCGTCTTCAGAACCTTCAGATCCAGACCCTGACTCGCTATCACTTCCCAGTATCTCTTTGCTGAGTGTCTTGTACTTTCCTTCATTTTCTTCATACTTGTCATCAAACTTGAAGACATTCAAAATATCTTCAGTATCAACTTGCTTCACATCTTCCAAGGTAATCAAGTGGGTGAACTGATCTTCCTCTTCCACTATGTCCAGTTCTTCCAAGACAGCTGCATGATCTTTGAAGCCATCTTTCCGAATTTGGAACATAACTTCTATCATATACTGAATTCGTTTTTCCAACTTTCCCTCATGAAGAATATTTCTTAACATTTCAAATATAGCTGTTATACCTGCAATGAAAAAAAAATTGCATGTCCCCAGTCATCTCCTCAACTTTTCAAACAGCACCACACCATGGTGCTATTTGAATTTTTTTGTGGAGTCATAATCAGTATATAAAAAAAGATTTAAAAAATCGGTATAAAAAAGAATTTCCAGAATATGGACATAATTATAAGTTATGAATATGAAAGGAAAAAAAACTGAAATATATAAAAATATAGAATTATGAAAATTCTTATAAACGATCAAAACTAAAACTGTTTCTGTTCAAAATCTATTTTTCTGTTAACCAGCTGTCGCACCCCTACGAACGACAACCCTCAGAAGTAGAAACTTGTGCGAGCGAAGGATTAACAAGGTCTTACCTCTTAACGTGTGATTCCTAACACGGAAAGCAGATACACAAGAACACATTTGAAGAGCGTTAAAAGTATCATAATACAAATGATAAATGTAATTTGATCAACAGCACAAATTTAAAAATCAATTGTCAAACAAGTTAAATTAACACCCTTCTGTAGATACAATTATGACACATTTATTATTATTGTAACAATTTTTCTCAATTAGCAATGCCTTAAATCTGGATTTGAAAATATCAATATTTGGAGATTTTTGGTAAACATTAGTTCTATGCAAATTGGACACAAAAAAATTTCTGGATTATTCACAACAAATCGACCTACGGTTGGGACAGAACTGATGAGCCGAGTAAGGGTGATGAAAGAACTCGAAGTTTGGCTACCTGCCCCATGGATTAGGACATTCCTAGAAAAAAACCTAATCTTGTATTGGATATAAGGGATATTTGAGACCGGTTTGGCATTAAAATTTTATTCAAAATAAAACTTTATTTTTTTGACTTTTGTCGTCGTAAATAGGCTGTTTTGCCGTGTGTGCGGTGCCACTACCAATGGCCACTGGCACCATTACACGATTTAACTTCAGCTACATCGCTAGTAACGTTATGTATGCCAAACAATAGAAACTTGTTAACATTTACTGACGTAGCCACTGTTTATGGATCTAAGGAACTAGTGGCTCCATACGAAGATACTATAATCTGGATAATGCTAGGGGGAAATGTTATATATGCAAAATGATTATCAAACAATAGAAACTTTTGTCCTGAAAGCATTTAACAACTTAGCCGCTGTTCCACTAGCTTCATATGGCGATGACAAAATAACGTTATGTATGTAAAACAACAGAAGTAATAATCTTGTCTCGTAAGTGTTTTGTTCACATAATTGGGGATCTCTTTATAGACGTGAATGAATCAGAGAAATGACTACTAGTAAGAAAAGGAATGTAAGATGCCAACTACAACTAAACATTTCACTTCATTCCATAGTTAAAGACAACGAGGAGTACCAACCCTTAGGCTCATTGTATGTTTCATCTATCGAATTAATATCGAAATAAAACTTTAAAATTATTCAGTGGAATCAGTAGTACACGTTCACACTTTAGAGGTTGGAAAAAATTTGTGCAGTGGCAAAGAGAAATCAAGAATTAGGTAAGTGATATGCGTCTTTTTTAGGTATTGATACATGAATATGTTTTCTACAAATGAAATATTTTTGTTTTGAAAAGTGAACGTTGTTTAAATTATTCATTAAATAATTTTTTGTAAGAAGATGGAGAAGTGAAACTAAAACGCTTTGTTACCGTCAATGGACCCTACACCTGTATGTCGCTTGGACATAAAAATATGTTGCCCTGAACACCTTCAGTTATAGGTCTCTGAAATGTTTGATACTTCCTTCCATTTTGGAAATATTCAGAGTTCACCTTAGACTTAAAAGTGCCATTTTGATCTATGTCTTTGAATGATTTGAAACTTTGTAATATTCTACTTGACAAGACATTTTGAATGATGTATCACACCTCATGTTGCCATTTGAAAAAGTTGGGGGAGTGCTCTGAGTGTGTCCCCCTGAAAAGCTTTAGTTACAGGTCTTGAAGATTTCTGTCCATTTCAGAATTATTCCGAGCGGGAAATTTTAGTTGGGAAGCCCTCTGAAGAAATCTTTAACTTTAGTGAATAAAATATGTGTGCCACAACCGTCTAAGTTGGATTCATGTAAGTTGTGAGTCATAAAAACGTTGACCGACATTTGTCACAGGTAGAAATACTCGACACATGTATGAATGTTCCCACTGAAAATCAAAATTGAACTTGTTGATATTAATTACCTCAGGATCTTCATTAAAATGTTTCAGAAATAATTACCCCATTTCTATATTAATTATAACTATCGAGAATTCTTTTTCATGTAATATTATTTTATTAGTATACTAATACTTAAAACAAAGGGAATAATTACCTTTACTGGATACCTCTGTGAGTTTTTGTCCGCATTCCTTCAAGAAAGAAATTGCCACTTCAACAGAATCGTCGGTTGGTGATTCAACCAGCAGAGTGAGAATCTCCAATGCTAAAATTTCATGAGCCACTTTCTGATTTACCAAATGGGCAACAAATGTTGTGGCTGATATACAGATGACCTTGTTATTTTGTTTAAATCCTCTTTTGAATTGAAGTACTAACCTCTTCAATAAGAGTTCACCTATATTTGGAAATTTAGAATTTATAACTGCTACAAGGGCAGCATAAACATTGGTGAATGTAGGAGAAGCTGCTTGGGCCTGAATGATAGATTTACATAGCAGACCTCTACCTCTTACTATGTTCTCATGAAGCAGTTCCCTGGCAATTATACCAATATTGGATGTATTAATTTTGTTGATATATCCATGGATAGATTTCTTGAGAGCTTCCCATGCAATGCGCTGATAAGCAGCAGAAGACTTATCAGTAATACTTTCCTGCATCATTCTCAATTTTGCAGGGGGGATGTAAGCACCGCCAGTCCTAGAAGTTAAGAGATCCACTGTTTTTCTTTCTCGAGGTTTTATAACAGATTTGTCTTCAGGTTCCTTATCAATGGCTGGCTTCTCCTCTCGTTTTTTTTCTTTCTTCTCACATCCAGCTTCATAATATCTCTGACCAACTTTTATGTTATCTTTTCTTGGATACTTATTCCAATATCTGTCACTATTTGGCCGATCTTCACCATAATATCTTGGATAGTCCTTTGGAAGATCATCATAATCTTGTGATTTTTTCTTTCCTTGGCCATTTTCAAGAGATCTAGATCTCGATTTTCTCGGCCGTTTTTTTCCATGTTTTGTTTCTTCTTTCTCCATAGATTTTGATCTACTTTCCCTCTTTTTGAGTCCAGACGACTTACTTTCGATATTCTGCATCGTCACTCACAAAACATCAAATAATATTATGTTTGAAATAAACATACAACCAAAATTAAATTAACACTAAATTAAAAATTGAATTCAGCCAAGAAAAATTCTTGGTTCCTCCCATATATGCAACATAAAAACAACAGCAGCACCAGTAAAACAGTGTTGCCAACAGGATGAACTATAAAGTTTTATTCTTCTTTCTTTATTGGCCGCTGCTTCCTATTCAGGCGCAATTGAGTCCAGCTCAATACCTGTGGTTGTCTTTATCTGAGCTAAGCTCATGAACAACCCATTAAATTTGTTCAGTTCTTCTATTCAATTTGTCCACTTCCCAGTATTGTGTGTCTTTTTCTTCACGTTCTTTAAAGGTTAGTAGGTTGACAAAGATATACAAACAATAGGTTCTAGGTTACTTGATAAAGGTTATATATGGGAGATAGATTATTTGGGATAAAAATTATAGTCTGATTTTATTATAGTCTGAAAATTGAATAATAAATTTTATGATTTGTAAGTTCAAATTACTGAGAACTTGGAATATGTTGAAGGGAGTTTTAACCCCTCTATTATTGAATTCAAAATATATATCTTCATTTGGGAGACTGTCGATAAGGCATTCCAAAAAAATATGGTTTGAATCTTCTATTTGACCGCATTCACAATATGGATGCTACACATGAACCAAAATTCCGCTACACTGCTCCATATACCGCTACGCTTGTATATCTTGTATATAACGCAATCAGTTCGCGCATGCACCTTATACAAAATTAAATACCACAGAACTTACAGTTTGTAGTTTGGTGCCGTTCAGATACCACAAAACGATGACAAAACTGAACCCGAGAATACCTACCGCAGAGAAGCGACATTAACGTCGGATCCTTTGATGTTCGGTGTCCCAACTCCAAAACAAAGATTTTGAGTGATAAACAACCTGGTTCATTGAGAAAAATGACCTCTCAGCGATATACACTAATGAAAATACATACTCTTACGTTCTATTATAGTATGTGGGATCACTGTGAAATATAAAATTATAGTGTGAAGGGAATCTTACTCCATTTAATTTTTATATTGCTAATTGAACAACTTTCGCAGTAATGATTAAGAATATTCAACTATGTTGCCAATTCATTATTATTTATGATGAATTGGCTTTTAAGAAATAAATTAAATTACTTCATTTTGTAAATCCGATTCATTAGATAGAAAATTAAAATAAAGTTACTATAATAGAATAATGCTTATATTATATAATCATTTTATATTCTCTGAAATAAATAAGTTCACTAAGGATGGATAGAAGTGACTTTTGTTATTTTATTTAACTTTCATTAACAACATCAATACGATCGGAGGGTTCCAATAAAGTAAGGTTCTAAATGAAAAAATAATGAAACAAGATATTTTACCAAAACCTCTTAATTTAAAAATGTGACAGAATCTTAAGTTTCCTTTTTACAGTTTTACCTTTGGTATTATTGATATCTCTATTAGTATATTTGATACTATAAAAAATTTTCATTCTTATGAATAGCCTAATTATGTTAATTTTTGGAAAATTTTCAGAAAATCTACATCCTTCATTAGCTTGAATAATATATTCGAAACTGCTTCCACAGTAGACATTTTTGTAAATCGATTGTTAAAAGAACATTTCAGCTGATATATGAAATTAATGAATTCATCTGGTGGTGAGCGCAAATTTCCAAATATATATGTTTTTTTCCGTAGCATAAGCTTTGAAATAGCTTAACAGACGATTAACATCCAAAGTCCTGCACTCCGTGCTGAAAGAGTGACGCACATAATATGTATGAACTTGAAGAGATTTTTTTTAAATGTATCAACAAACGTAAATGAATGAATTCTGAGTACATACATATATCATATATCATTTACGTTTGTGGATTGTATACTGATTAATAAATCATCTAAATCATTCTTACAATTCATATGATTGGAATGAAAATAATTTTGGCAAAACAACTTCCGGAATGCCCTTTGAAATTGTATGGGGGTCGGATTAACATTATTTCCGCATTGTTGTCTTACAGCACCAAAAAAATTTTCAAGACAATCTGAATTGAGTCGTCTCGTTTTTAAATATTTATAATTTGATTTGAAAAGCTTATCCCATATTTTAATTACACTATTCATGGAAATAATCCAACATTTTCTAAATCTGACTCAATTTGTGACATTTTTGTCCTCTGAATTGAAAATTTCAAGATTTTTCAAAAACGTTAGAGCCTCTTCAAAAAAATCTAATTGGAATTTCGAACCTTCTAAAACGTTTTTGTATGTATAGGCATGTCGTAAAGAACACGAATTCAACAAATCGAAAAGGTTATTGAATGTCTCTATCACATGTATTGTACGAAAAGAAGAAGCAGGAAGTAAGTCCATTGCCACGAGTGCATTCATTCCACTGGCAACTGTACGGCTTAGAACTTGTGTTGCTAGACTCACTTTCATTTTGTCAAAATTGTTTGGATTGATATGTGATTTGGTAAGATTTAGTGCGAATCTATAAAATTGACCTATGTCTTGCTCATAAAAGGAGCGCACAAAAGACCAAGATGTACTTTTGCCTTCAAAATGAAATGAATGTTTTAAAAAATTGTTTTTAGTTGCTTTCATCAAATGACTTGGATCAAAATAATAAACAAGTTTTCTTTACCACCGAGCTCAAATTCAAATTCTTCTAAAGTGACCCCTAATAACTTTGACAATTCATAAAAGTTAGAGCCCATGTCACTCACAATGCCATCAACATGCAGAACTATATTGGATAATTTAGAAATGCACTTATCCAAAATATCACATAGATTTTCTGCTGGTAGCTGTGATTCAATGAAAAAAAAAGCAATTGGTTGTTTCCAGGGAGAATAAAGTCCTCTAGCCATAATAACGTGAACATTTCTACATATGGAATTCCTCTTATTTTTGCCTCTCCAATATCTTCAAAACTTCCCAAGACTGTGGACTGTAGAGGAACTGTTATTTATTTCTATATGAATTGCAAATAATTTTCAGTATTTTATTATCAACATTTGTTTACAAAACGTAGCATGGCTCTACTCAAATTGATGTTCAAATCACAGAATACTTATTGTAAACTCTGTAGTCTGTGGTTCAAATGCTCAAATGTTCATTGAAATGTCAGTGTCAAATGGGGTTAATATTGGTATAATCATTGTAAACCGCTTTTGGCTTGTCACTTGTCATAGTTGTCAGAAGTTGTCATTGAAGTGGATAAAGTGGTGTGTCGTGTACAGATCACGATCAAGTCGAGATTATCTATGATGGGTTGTAGGTTATATAGATATGTTTTTTATTTAGTTAGGTGAATTATGAATTATAATAAAAAAATATCCGATTTCATCAGAGTAGATGTTCCAACAGAGCTGTCTAATGACAAACGGAAAACAAAGAATTTGAAAAGGGTATGTTAATATATTGAATAAATTTGTCTTCTTAATGACATTTATTTTATAGTATTGGAATCAGCTGTCAAAATGCCAAAGAAGCTTCATCTTCAGTATTCTTGCTATATTGTTATTAACTGCATTTTACTTGGTGTCTGGGGAAAGACAGCTTGCCATGTTAAACAGTGAAAATGTTAGAATAAAATATACGTCCAGAAATACTGATGACTCTTCCAGAGATTCCCACTTTAATTCAGTTCCCACTGTCGACGATATAGTTCAACAGAACCAAGGATTAGAAGAACCTGGGGGAGCTGAAGTTGACAATACTGTCAACAGAAATCAAGTACTGCTGCCACCTAGAACTCAGCATCGTTTTTCAGGTAAAATAATGGTAATTGAATAAAATAAAATTATTGAAATGTGTTTTTTCGCTGAATAGTTTTCTCCCCAATATGAAAGGCAACCATCAAACGTTTAAATTGTGTGAAAGATAAGGATCTATAAGGTCTTATCTTTCAACTTGTAGTCCCTAGCAATAATTTAATGATCACTTTAGTACAGGTGATAGGCTAAAATGAGCCAAGTTAGCCTTGAATTCACGGCTAAAAGTTCAACACGGCTACTCCATATCAAAACACAGAATGTGAAAAAAATTTAATTTGATGAAAAATCACTTTTTGAGTTTACTTTGCCATTGAAATGTATTCAAAATATTCCAAATGTATTTTGGCCAGATGTGATGATTGTCTAAACTAAAGGCATTTTTGTTCCATATTTTTAAATATAATTAAGGTATACGTTGCAATAAAGAAAAAATAAACTTTTCATGAACAACCTAAAACCTAATATATAATACAAATGAACCACAATAAACTTGGGATTGTATTGATCACAAAAAGAATATTAACTTCAAATAATAATAAACATCATTCCATAACATTTAGACCAGTTTACCAAACGTCCTCTATATTTTCAACATCAATATTTTCTACTCAATTTAGAGCAGAATAACATGCAATGAGGTTATTAGAAAGTTCCAATCTAGTTTTAGTCATCAAAGCAACTAACACTTTTACCATTTCTTCTTTTTTCTTCAGAAAAATTTGCTAAACTGAAATCCTTCTGTAAATCGTCTGAGGAGGTATATTCCAGAGGTTTTTTGTAAAATTTAGTAAAAATCTCACAAAGTATTTTCTGAATACCTTATGGATTTTTAAGTACCAACCGATTCCATCATATAGTCTAAGATTCAAAGCATCCTGATTTTTTTTGAATGTTCCGTCTACTACACAAGTGAAAAAGTATTCTTAGTGTATTCACCTTTAACATTTTTCCTGATGTTTTCATTTCTCCTACCACTTATTTGCGTCTAAAACTTTTGCTATTTTCTTTTCACTATTACCATGAAGATTATCGGCACTCATGACATGTAACCCTTCATATGATATCACTAGGTTATATTACCTAATCTAGTTTCTAGATTCACTGAATGAATCAATGATGTATACAGAATCCAAGAAAAAAGCAAAATGAATGGTAGATACTGTCAATAAATTGATGGATGTTGGACTTTTATTCGTAACTAATGTCGTTACTACAGCTTTGTCCTATAAGAATATTTTAAAACAATCACAAAGAACATTACAATAAAGCAAATTTAATAACTGGTATTTGCATTTTATAAACTCAGGGATATTCTTCCAGAAAAAATTTTGAAATTAGCCTATAAATCTTTAGTAGAATCTGTAATGTCTTATGGAATAATAGTATGGGGAACAGCGTATACTAATCAGATAAAAGTAAAGTCACACAGAAATGGATTTTGAAAGTAATACTAAGAAAATGGCGTAGATTTTCCAACGAACAGATATTTATAGAAAGTAAAATGCTCGATTTAACACATCTGTATATTTTTCATATTGCAAAATTCATTCATAAAAATAGAACACAACACCAAAAAACTTCCTACAATCACAGTACAAGACAAAAAGGTCTCAAAAATTTAAATATCCCCCGTCCTAATTCTACCCTCTATAAGAAGTCGATAGCATTTAATGGCCCTAAAATTTACAATTACATCCCAGAGTCCATCAAAAATATTTGTAGTTACAAACCGTTCTGCAAAAAGATGATATCCTTAATATCTTCTAAATCTCTTAAAGTACTCGTAGAATGAATGTCAATATACATTATATTCTGCTATTCTCTCAGTTACTCAATTTCTTATACTATTAGTTTAGTCTCTTAACTTCTGATAATTTTAGATTATTTTTTTTATTATATCTATTGTATTATTTAGGTTTATAATATATCTACCGAATGTTCAAACACAAAATTATCTCATTCTGAGATCAGGTGCACTCAATTTGTAAAAAAACTTCAATTTAATAATGATGTAAATATTTGAAAACTGATGCTACAGTCAATATGAACGACATATTTTGCTGATAATCTTATATTATATGTTCAGTATGTAACACTGTATTTCTAGCAAAAAAAAGTTTATTGTAATTGTTTGAAAATGTACTTATCGGACGAAACTGCAGTACAACATTAGGTACAAATGTCCTTATAGGACGAAACTGCAGTACAACATTAGTTATAATTGTCCTTATAGGGCGAAACTGCATTAACAGCATTAGTTACAAATAGAAGTGTAAAAAAACAAAGTTTTATTATATATTTTTCAGGTAGATACTGTGTTTTAACTATGCCAAATTTCTGGAACTAGTGAAGAAAATGATGAATAGACTGACTCTGAAAATGCTTTCAAACATGTACATATGTGCATACAATCCACTTTTTCTTTCCATGTCTGTTACTTTGTTTTGGCATTGGAAATTTCTCTTTCAAATAAATTTATTAATAATAAACTTTGAATATTTTATTTTGCTCTGTGTTTGGAAACAAAGTCACTCAAAAGTCGAAACTGTTGATGAAATCATATATTAATGAAAAGTAAATCAATCAAGGTATATTAATGGTTGTAATTATTTTATTTTATTTTTTTTATTTTCATTTAATTTTCTTTCTTATTGTTTCAATATGAATTTTCATTCAGAATGAGACTGAGAAATTTTGCACTAGGAGTGTATTCAGCTACCCCTTATAGGACGAAACTGCAGTAACATTAGTTAAGAATAAAATTATTAAACATAGAAAGTTTCATTTATCATTTTTCATAGTGTATTTAATATTTTTATTATGGAATTTGATTGGATCTTTTGAATCAATTGACATAGACTTTTATGATATAAATATATAAGGCTTACTTTTGCACTAAGTATCGCAAATAGGAGTTTCAAATTCTGAAAACTCTCTGTTTAAATGCATCATTCTGGGATTCACTGATCACTTGGCTTATGAAGAATGATCTTTGGATGATGAATAGTACATCCTTCTTAAGTATCAAGGTGCTGTACTTTTAAGAAGTGCCACCTAAAATCAAAAGAAAACAATATTTTAATTTTTCGCTGAAACACAATTTCAGTTGTTTGTATTGTAATCGCTGATTAAATAATTGTGATGTTTTAATCGAATCATTTTTTCCAGGTCCAACTACTTCAAGGCAGAAGGCAGTGGTTAAAGCATTCAAACATGCCTGGAAAGGATACAAGCAATACGCATGGGGGCACGATAACCTTAAACCAATCTCTGAGGGCTACAGTGATTGGTTCGGACTGGGACTTACGATCGTTGATTCACTTGATACAATATTTATTATGGGACTCAAGGAAGGTAATAGATTTTTTGAAAGTTGTTCAAGTTGATTTGATCTACAAGTAACATAAGTGTCATTGTGTTATTTGTACAAGCGTTAGAACAGTTTACCATGGAAAAGGAAGGAAAGATACCATTTCTGGGTGTACTGGTTGATAGAAAAACTAGGTAACACAGTTAATTGCAAAGCTACTCATACTGATTGATATCTCAATAAGAACTCAGGACAAGAATGTGCTATGATGATTGTGCCATTGTTGTGTGTGAACCCATTGGCTCTACAGGCCAATGCAAAAAAGTGATCTGGTTTTCAATTGTGTACAATGATTTCATTGTCACCTGGTACATTATATATCAACAAGTATAATTTTTGAACGAGACATTTCTGAAGCAGCTAGAGTGTTAATGTTTTTTCTTCTAAATTTATATACTTTTCAATTTAAGTATAAAAGTATTCAGAACTGCTACATAAACTTTCATTCCAGAGTTCAAAGAGGCAAGAGACTGGGTAAAGAACGAACTGAATTTTGATATCGATAAAGATGTCAATTTATTTGAAGTTACGATAAGGGTCTTAGGTGGCCTGCTTAGTATATATCATTTTTCCAAAGATGAAATGTTTTTAGAGAAGGCTGTGAGTACATTTACTTTTTTTTCTAGTAAATTCATATTATTCCTCAAATTTTTTTTCTAGGTGGATTTGGCTGATCGGCTTCTTCCAAGTTTCGATTCAGAATCGGGAATTCCGTTTTCGGATATAAATTTGAGAACTAGAAAACCTCATGCTCCAAAATGGTCTCCTGATAGTAGTACTTCAGAAGTTAGTACAATACAGCTGGAGTTCAGGGATTTAAGTAGGGCTACAGGAGTACTTTCAAATCATGTTCACTTGATAGCCCATTAATCAAATCAAGATCTGTGTTGAAGAGATTTTGTGCCTCAGCACACTCATCGATTTTAAAGTGCATGTTTAATTGTATGTCATCAGCATACCTGTATTTTACATTTCTTGATGGACGAGATAATGTCAGTAGTATAAATGATGAGCAATAAAGGTCCCAAAATGGAAACCTGTGGTACTCCTGATAGAATATCAAGAGGTAAGGAGTGATGACCATCAACAACAACTTTCTGAGATCGACCAAGTAAATAAGACCAGATGAGAAATTAGGCAGCACTATCAAAACCATAATATTTGAGTTTCATGCAAATCAGCTCATGATTGATGGTAACGAATGCTTTCGAAAAATCTAGTAGTACCAGAGTGCTAATCATTCCCTTATCAAATCCCTCAACAATGTCTTGTGTAACAGTAGCAAGAGCTGTAGCCGTGCTAAAACCCTGCCTGAAACCACATTGCGATGGTGATAACAGATTATTGGTATTGAAATATTCATTAATTTGTAAATAAATAACTCTTTCAAGAACATATTATCAAGGTCACCAATCATGCTCAAAAAATTAGTATTTGGAGGCCTATAAAATACCCCTAAGGTCAGACTCCTACATCCAAGTTTTACTTCAATAAAGGTGAATTCAAGAGATTCTTCAACCACAAAATCAAAAGTTATTTTGTTGTACTTCAAATCATTTCTAAGATAAATTCTGACACCCCCACCTTTCCGTTTTCTATCTTCACGTATGAACTTGTAACCATAAATTTGAATCAAGTTAGAATCAAACTGATCGGTCAGCCACGTTTCAGAGACCATTACAATGTCAAATTTGTTCTCATGTATAAGTACAATGAGGTTATTAAAGCCTGTAAAAATTGACCTGAGATTCAGATGAGCAATTTTTATAACGGAAACGTTAAATTTCAAACTCGGGAAAAGCAGATTGTTTACTCATTAATTATATCCATGATATAAGTATTGAAAATATAGAAATACGGCAAATATTTTTTTTAATATAACTGAGAGGAAAAAGGGATGAAATAGATCGGTAATGTACAAAGATTTTCGAAATGTAAGAGATATAATTTATTATTACTAACAGATCAAACAAAGAATCAATTATATATCAAAAGTAAATAACAGAAAGAGGAAGAATACCGAAAACACTTTTCAGTTATCTTTCCTTAACCTACAAAAAAACCAATGCGCTCCGAAAAATAAAGTAGATAAGAATAAATCAATGCCATAGAATGTCAGCAGACTAAAAAAAAAGTATGAAAAATTTTAATTGCAGAGGGCTAACAAAAAATAAAAAGCTGTTACAAAGTTACCAATAAAAGATTTCATGATTCTATAAGGAATTTATCAAGATCGGATTCACATTCACAAGGTTTTTCGGACCTTTGAAGTTCACATAAACAAGCCCATTAAAAGTCCAGGATGATTTATTAAAATGAGCACGAACTTTCTTGAACAAATTGCAGCTCTGTAATCATAATAGATAATAATGACTTTATTCACATTACAATGAAAATGATTAAATTCACATCAATATATAAAATAGACATTACAGAAAACGTGAGAAAAGTAGGAAAGTGATAAGTGTAACACACTACACAAATATAATATAGACAGTACACTTAACAAAATTACACACAAATATAAGAGAAATATTGAATGTTTGTTTGAAGGTGATTGACAATGTTTCGTGATGAATTTCACTTAACCCGAAATCTGTAGAGGACTGTTTGGAGTTTTTTTATAATATATCTGATGTGGTAATCCCATTTTAGATGTGTGTCAATATATACGCCTAAGTATTTCGATTGTTTAACAGACTGAATTGTTATTGTATGGTTTTGTGTAGTCAGGATATTGAGGTTGTCATAAGGACAGGCATTAGATGCATTGCAACTGAAAGTAAGAAAATTTGTTTTCTCCACATTTACAGTCATGAGTCTGTTATTAAGCCACAGTTTCAATAGTTGGAAATCTGCCTTTACCTTTTCTTTCAATTCGTGCCAACTGTCCGCTTCATAAAATATGGCGGTATCATCCGCATATCCTGTTATGGTACCCACGCTATTTATTTTAAATATATCATTTATATAAAGATTGAATAATAAGGGGCCCAACACTGTGCCCTGGGGAATTCCACATTTAATTTCTAACTCATCACTAGTTTTATCTGCTATTCTAACAACTTGTTTTCTGTTTTGTAGATAACTTTCAAATAATTTCGAACATATACCTCTGACTCCATTATTGTTCAGTGTTTGTAATAGTAATTGGTGGTCAACCGTATCGAAAGCTTTTTTTAGGCCAATTAACAGGCAAAGTGAAGGTTTTCCTTTTTCTAAGGATTTGTGTACTATTTCTGTTAGTTCGCATCTTCGGTAGATGTTTTTTCTTTGAATCCAAATTGTTTGGTCGAAATGAGTTTATATTTATTGATAAATGAACATAATCTTTTCTTCACTAATTTTTCGAAGATTTTTGAGAGGTGGGTAATAAGCGAAATAGGTCTATAGTTACCGATTTGGGTTTTATCACCTTTTTTATGGATAGGCGTGACTATTGTTGTTTTGAGAGCGTTTGGCCAGATACCAAGTGACAAACATCTATTTATTATGAATACTAAGGGTTCTAAAATGAATTTTGAAATAGCTTTCAAAACTTCCGCTCTGATTTTATCGTTCCCTGGTGATTTATTATTTTTTAATTCATTAATAATAAAATTTAACTTATTTTTATCCGTTGGAATTAAAACTAAGGAGTTAGGTATATTATTAGTGATTGGGGTGTAGTTGGGGTTCCTAGGTGTTTTGATCGATAAACTCTTTCCGACGTCTACAAATTTATTATTGAATTCATTGGCTATGTCTTTAAAAATTTTATATGTTCTACTTCAATGATGTATTGGAAATCATAACCGTTTTTTATATATACTATGGTACCATCATTTTGATTAAATTCTCCCTGGTTGTAAATAATTGAGTAATTTGGAAGGTTATATAAACTTGTATTTAAAATTTTTCTAGTTTCTGTTAAAACTAGGCAGTCAAAGCTAGTTTTGACATTTTGAAGAAAAATTTTGAATTCATCAATATTTTTATCAATACTTATATTATTGTTGATGTTCCTTTAAGATTCTTCTTGTTGTTAAATATTAAAATTCTCGTCAAACGGCGGCAAAACTGAATTACTAGTGGCCTTGGTTTCTTGGCTTGAGCAGTTTTTTCCCCTAATCTATATATCTGACTGATATCGTGTTTAGTGATATCGGTTCTCATTTTAGCAGACAAAAAATTCGAGATAATATCAAATTGATTTGAATCTCCCTCATCAAGGCCATGAATGACAAGATAATTGAAGTTTCTTTGGATTTCAAATCTATTTACTCTTGAAGTCACTTCTATTACGTCTTTACGTAAAGACTCCAGGTCATTTTTTAAATCCATGAGGGAACTATTCATATTTTTTTCAAATGAATTTAGCCTTTCAAGAAAAACTTCGATATCAAGATTAGTTGTACTTGCTGTTTGTTTTGTTGGGATATTATTCCTGATCTCTTGAAGTTCTTTCTGGAATTGTTCACTAAGCTTATCAACACGGCAGTTGAGTTCTTTTACAGTAATGGAACCTCCAGGCATTTCGAGAAGTTATAACACAGTTATTAGTGAATTAGATTATTTGTTGATGACACAACTATGGTCTATTTTTGTAAAAATGTCAGTGTTGTAATGGAGTCACATTGGCTGAAACGGTGGTACAAAGGTGGGCCTCCATGTAATATAAACCATATAATTAGCCAGTTGATGAATATCATTTTGAAGGCTTGACAACATTCAACTGACAGACAACATAAAAATAAAACCACTTCGCATATTTCTTGTAAATTTTCCTTACAAGACTTATTTTATTTTCAAGTAATTTTTTTTTTCAAACACATTAATATAATTCAGTCAGTCCAAAACTGAATTTCATTTTTCAATATTCGTTTTTCTAATTACAGTTTCATAACAATTGTACAATTCTTTAGATAGTGAAAGCACCACTTATCAACCACATTTTTGATCTAGTTATATTGTTGCTGTTGAATGTTTTAATAACGTTACCATTTTATTTCAGATTGCAGTGGATAAAGTATCGAGGTTGCTTCATAAACTGGAAAAGAAAGATGGTTTAGTTCCAATATTCATCAATGCAAATACTGGTCAATTCAGATCGTATGCTTCTATTACTTTAGGAGCTAGAGGTGATAGTTATTATGAATATTTACTTAAACAGTGGATTCAAACTGGTAAATCTATAGACTAGTGAGTATTATTGAAGTTTCATATATACTTCTGTTCTTTGAAAGAACCAGGAGTGTTTAGATCACAATATGTCACATTAAAGAACAGAATCGTCAGTGCTTATATCCGTTAGTTTATGCATATTCAATGTCTTGTTCAAATTTCGAGGCTTTTATTGTCTCACGGGAAACTCTACAATTATTGATTTAATTAAAAGAATTATGTAGAAAAAAGCATGGTATTACTCACAAAAGAGGTTAAAATAAAGATAGCATAAATGTAAGATTGTTTTGTTTGGTAGTTGAACTTGAAACTGAAGCGGTCCCGCCGATTGTTGTCTTCATCAAGTTTGTTTTTGTAGAATAATCAATGAGTTACGGTGAACCCAAATTCGTAAGATGGGCTATTTACTTATTCTCAAATTAAATAGATAAAAGCAATACCTCATTAAAAGGTTAGACTGTTCGGAGCACAAGTTATATCGTTTCTACCAGTTTGTGGACTTGGATCGGATGCACAAATTGATGATGTATGGGCATCCATTGAATGTAACTGGCCGGTATACTAAATAAAAATCTTTATCAAAACTTACTAACACTATAATGAGAAAAAAAACATTTCTATGTTTCGTATGTGAATTCTTTCATCAGTAGTTGTTGAGACTATTTCGACAATGCTTTAAGCATATTGAATATAAGCAGGTCTCATCAAAAGAAATTATTAGTTCTCAAAATAAAAGAAAGACTGACAGTTTTCGAGTTTCTTTTGATTCGGCAACGTCTGAAATTTTACTATCAGTTGAGCAACTTACAAAATGAAATGTTACTAGTTTCATTGCTGTTGAGCGCATTTCAGTGGGAATTTTAACGTTATGTTGGATATACAAAATTACCAAAAATGACGTCATTCTCTTCTTAACATGAACAGCCTATACCATGGAATTGAGGCTCTTTAACCATCTATAGGATATTCCCGTTAAGAAGAGAATGATGTCACAAGATGACAAGTTACTGTACTAGATAGATAGATAGATAGATATATTTATTGATCTCTTCGAATCATTTACATGACATGAGATAAGTCTAATAACCGTGTTCGGTTGCGAATCAGGATAAAATTACAATACATCTTAATAAAAAACGAAAAATACACATAAAAATACTAACAATACAATAATACAATACATATTTTTTAAAAGTTCGTACATGTAGAGTTGGGAATAAAATGCCTGGTGCTATGTAGGGGATGAGAATATGTTATTTCATTTTAGTAATTGTTCAGTAAACTCTGTTAGGGAATAAAAACAGTTGTCAATCTATTTCAAACTTTTAATTTTTTTTGCACTGTTGATTCATTTTATTGCTATCAACCTTATTCACTATCAAATTACATAGTTGAAATTCAATTAGAGTCGCACTTCAATTTTTTTTCAAGTAATGAAAAATAAAATATTTTATTTTAATTCGTTTAATTGTATATATTTTTTAATTACAACTTCTCTATCTCGATATTATTTTTGTTTTGTTCGGTATGTTGAATAGTTTCAGCCCATACCTACATCAGGTGAACCTTTCTTTAAATCTTCTTTCCATATAGCCCGGGATTTGTCAGCTGAAGTGCCATCTCTTCCCACATTATTCCTATAAAAATTTTGGTTAATCCCCAAATATGTTTGATGGGATTAAACATACAGTGATACGGTGGAAGACGAAGCACTTGATGCCCATATTTTTCTGCAAGCTTATCACTTCTGAAATTTTATTATCAGTTAAGTAACTTACAAAATGGAATTTTACTAGTTTCATTGCTATTGAACGCATTTCATTGGGAATTTTAACGTTGTTGTGTTGGATATACAAAATTACCAGACGTCATTCTCTTTTTATCGTGAATATCCTTTACCACCATGAATAAATAAGTAAATTTAATAGTAATTTTAAATCCATTATAATAAGATATCAAGTAAATAAACTGATTGATTACTTGCAAAATATTTCACCTTTACTGAGAACATCCCAGATTGTCTCCTTATAAATCACCTCCTTTAACTTCAAATAAAATTAATACATGTGAAATTTCAGTTTGAAGGATGATTTTATTGAAAGTATAGATGGGATAGAGAAACATCTTTTAAGAGTTTCTGTTCCAAAGGGATATACTTTCATCGGTGAACTCCTGGGAGGAGGTAGAGATTTCAAACCAAAAATGGATCATCTTACTTGTTACTTACCAGGAACTTTGGCTTTGGGAGTTCACAACGGTTTACCAAAGAAGCATCTTAGGCTTGCCAATGATCTCATGAAAACCTGTTATCAAACTTATGTCCAGCAACCTACATTCCTAGCACCTGAGATTACTTATTTTAATATACAGGTGAGTACTTCTGAGAGATTTGTTTTTTTTTTTTTGAAAATTCACATCATGTTCACAGTAATGCTTGAGTAGAACTGAAAATTGTAGAATCGCAATGTGCTATAATACTAGTGGAAAATTAAACAATTTTCATTGTGAAATTATGCTTCAAAGGTTATAAACAATGATTTTATACGATTTCCTTCATGGCCTAATTTAACAATACTGGTTCAACTGACATCATTTTAGTATTTATTTTCTGCACGGGATCATCCCTTTTATGATAGTACAATATCAAATATAATAAATATTCATATACAATTCAAAAATTAAAGAAAATACTAAAAATGTAAAAGTGAGAGTCAAATTGAACTCAAGCATATGAAAATGAGTAACAGCGCTAAGATAAACAGAATTATACAATTAAACATACAAAGATAAATAGGGAGAATAATATAATATATATATATATACATCCCGATATCAATATGGCATCCATACATTGAATGCGCTGATAGGGCGTCCATCATAATTTGAAGAATTTACCGAATATATTTCATGGTAAGTACTAGAAAACTGATTTCTGTAGGCTGGCATGACATTTTTACCACCATAAAAAAATTGAGTTCACTATTGATTCGATAGTAGAGCGTCCGTCCGTCAAACATTCATAAGAACTCCTCAGTATACACCATCATCAGACATCTGATTGATAATAGGGAGTCCAATAAGTATATTTTCATACATGAAATAGATTATTGGGAATCCTTACAACGTTGCCAATATTTACCGCATTAAATGTAGGCAGCAAGTGGGTTTTAATTTCTTCACATCTGTTTTTCAACAAGCGTTGTGCCAACGACAAATTGCGTATGGATTTCAGGTAGCCGGTATGTATTTCATTTTTACATAGGTACCAAGTGATATTGACTGATCATGAAAAGTTTNTTTTGGTGTATAAATAATTTTTAAGTCGTTCTCAGAAACATTTGAATTTTGGCAGGCCTATACCTGTGATCTCTAGATGTAGATTTTTGGCATTCAACTTTCTAAGTAAACGTTCGATAGACGAGTGCCTTTCATAGTTTGTATAATGGAAGAAAACATGAAACATGTCATTATTTCTGAGAGTTCTCTTTGGCACATTCAAGTGAATCCTATTGGTAATTACTGTACCTTTTTATAACTGAATGTTATTGGCCGTTCAAAAAGCGTTGATGTTGTATAAACTGTGATAGAGAATGATCCACATGTTTACGGGGAATTGTTGATATTGTGTACATTTAATTAAATATTCAGTTGAGCTACTCTGTAATATGTATTGTTATTACATATGGATATTGTTTTTAGAACTTTAAATGTGTAATTATCTGAACATAACATTGATAATTCATTATCACCTTCATTTCCATAAAGTCCTTCATCCATGTCAGTTTGACAGTTTCACCATAAAACTCGTCTAGGCTATAATATCCTTTGACTTTTCACAAATTTATTAAAACCATAGGGAAAGTGCAGTATTTTATAATTCATGGTAATTCATTGCACATTTTGATATGTAGGTTATCAGTAATGTTTTAGATTCATTAATTTATTTCAGGGTGAAAATCCAAACGACCTACATGTAAAATCAAATGATGCTCATAATCTTCTTCGACCAGAATTCATCGAAAGCCTCTGGTACATGTATCAGTTCACAAACGATTCCACTTATCAAGAGTGGGGTTGGAAGATCTTCCAAGCCTTTGAGAAATATACCAAAGTCGTCAACGGATATACTTCCATAGGCAACGTCAAAAATACTGCTAATGTGAGACCGAGAGACATGATGGAATCGTTCTTCCTTAGTGAAACATTGAAGTATTTGTACTTGTTATTTAGTGACGATCCAAAATTATTAAATTTGGACGAATATGTTATCAATTCAGAAGCTCATCCACTGCCCATACATCTGAGTTGATTATTCCTCATTTGATTTTACTCTGACTTTCTCTAGTCCTTGCTCTTTACTTTCAAAGTAAATGTAGAGATCAGAAATCATGGGATAGTGTATTTGATTGTTGTGAATTACAAGTAGAACACACCATTACAATGTCAAAATATGTTATATACTTATGATGTTCAAGAAATTAGTAACAAAGCATTATCATTCAAGTAATAACATCTTTTATAAACTAGTCAAAAAGTAGTGGGTTTAGTGGTATACCAATTCACTCCTGAAGCCTGATGAAACATTTAATATTCACATTTTTGTTACTATGATTTCTTAAAGCACAATGATCAATGGTTTTTCTGAGTTTAATGCTTAAATTTAAAAACCTAGATACTCCCCAGTACATCGATGACAATTTTTGGAAAAGATAGGTTTTGGCTTTCTACTTCTCCATCTTGATACAACAGAATGTGGTAATCTTCCAAAAATTAATCTCCTAAAAATATACTCCTTTCATTTTAAATTGATGACAATATTGTATTGAAGTAACAATAAAAAGCAATATATACATTTAACACCTGTTCAACGAAATAGACTCAAAAATGTGTTCATCTATAGTTGTCTGTATAAGACACTTTTCGGTTATTTCTACTCTGAAGCAATAATACTATGAAGGCTTATATTCATTAAAAAAAAATTCTACAATTGACATGCAGGGACAGTCATTGAAATACGAACAAAAAATTATTTATAAATTCTGAAGTATTTTGACAAAAGCGTTATGCTTTCGATGAGGTCATTTTATCCACCTTCCAAGAAACTATCTATCAATTCCTGAAGTATACCATTAATCCTTGAATTTTAACTATTGCAGATAGACCATATGGTCAATACTTGATTATGTTAAATTTTTGGGTAGTATTTACATTATACATCAGTTTATTTGTTATATTTTTGGTAAATTTTAGGGATTGTTTTACTCATTTGCATATAAACAATAAAAATTATTTTTTCACCATGCAAAATATATTTTAATTTTTGTTTGAATGTGATGGATAATGTTCTTGTTGAATGTTAGAAGTGCAATTGTCTAAAAAAGTATTGATAGATTTGAAATCTAAAAGAAGATAAAGAAAGATGTTGCTTTGAAGATAACTTCTTCAATTCCATTTTATGTTGCAATGACCTTTTGTTTTCTTTACAAATTAGCTTTCCTCGTCTTCTACATTGTATAATATCTTCATTGGTGTTTGATATTATTTTTACCCTTTTGTTCAACTAACTCGTCCAAATATTTTGGTCTTGGTATTGTCAATACGTCATTTATCTTCTCTTGAATGTATTTTTTTATAGAGTGGAAAATTGAATCTCTAACATCCAATACAATTTAATTTATATTATATTTTACCTGTTATTCGAGTGTTTGATACGATTTTTAAAATCAAAGGTTGGAATTTCGTTTTCAAGTTTTATAATTCATCATATCAAAGTATAATAATGCTGGAAGTACACAATCAAAATTTTTCATATTTTTTAATCTTTCTGTTCCATTTCATACCCACCGTAATTTCAATAAAAAAATACCAAGTCCAGCTATAAGAAAGTATTTTTAACCTTCAACAATCTGAATCGAAGTGGGAAATATATTGAAGTACAAGAAGGGTGCAACTATAGCTTACTACAAAATATATGCTAGATCAATAAAAAACCTGCCTGTATTATACATTTGTTTACAAAAAAAATGGCAAACTCATCTTTGAATTATAGAAGATAAAGTGCTATATTAGTGCAGTGTAAAATATAACTTTTTAGTATTCGTTTTGATGTCAAATATCTTAAGTATGCTATGATTTTCATGTTTTTTGAATATCTAGACAAATGCAGTAAACACCAGTGAATAGGATGTACTATTCTAATATTCCTATCTTTGCTATTAATTGATGTTCATTCTTATGAATTCTCAATGCAGGTATTTTGCAAATTGAGTTATTTATTTTTTACATTGTGTGCGATGTTTTTGTATTCATATTTGTTCATTTTTGTGTCAAGCATATTTCTTTTGAATATTTTTCCTTCATTATACTTATTGTTTCCTTAGATTATAAATAAACCCCAAATTAGAATTATCAGAAGTGTCCGACCCACAAATTGATCTTATTCATATACTGTTTTAGTGATAACATTTTTAATTATGAATAAAAATTCAGAACGGATTCAATGGGAAGGAAGAGATTATTCTGAGAATTACGCGATGAGAATCTTGATATTTGAATTTATGTAGCATATCGAAAAAATTCCTATATGTAACAAATAAAAACAGTAGAAATCATACAAAAGTTATTCTTTTTATACTATATTCAATTATGTTTAATGGGAAGGGTTGTTTTTTTGATTTTAATTTAAAATATAACAAGAAATAATTGGTGGTTTACCTTTGAGAGGTTGTATAGTCTTTCATATATTTAATTCAAAAATCCATGTTGTAGCTAGTAGAATGATATTCCTTCAGGTGAAAGTCTTCAGTTTACTATGAATATTCTTGATAATACCTTAACATTTAAAGCAAGAAATGTATTAGCCCCAACTAATATGTATTTAAAAAAACATAATAGAAGTTGAAGTGGCACATGTTTGAATAGTATTTCAGATATATTTTGAGAATTTTTGAGTTTCATTTCAATACTAGTATTTCATCCAACTTTCAATACACTGAGCTACAAAATATTAATTATAACTTGATTATTTTGTAATCGTCGTGTTTTAAAATATTGTGAATTATGAATTTGTTACATATTAATATATGACTAGATCATATTTTTGCTCAAAAAAATTGATTAATTCATAGTCATGAAAAAAATTTGATTTCACTCATTCAGCCTGAATATACACAAATTTCATTATTTTTTAAGAAAAATATGTTTATAGAGAAATTTTATTTTATTCATAAACAGCACAACTTTGATATATTTATTGTTGTTAATATGATGGAAACTGGCATTAAATTTTTTATTGTTACTTACTATGTTTTATTTTACAAATATTACCCTTCTTCATCTTTGCTATCGTTTAGTTCTGAACATTCAGAAAAGTAATTTTTCTAAAAGCATTTTATATTTATTAAACATTTTATATTTACATACAACATTAATATGTATGGAAAAACTAATTTCAGTCTTCGTCGTCTGACGATTTATATAACTTCTCAAAACATTTGTCGAATTTGGTCAAATCAGACTCGAATGTCTCCAATTGTTTCGCAACCTCTGATTCATCGGGGGGAGGGAGGTCACCAAAATCCTCCAGCGAGGGAGCAGTTTTCCATTGTTGAATGAAATCTGCTAATTCTACCGAATCCTTGGAACTGGCAAACGGGCAATACTGTATGACAACAAAATGAATTGAATGAATTCCTAATTTTGAGAAGAGGTATAGTGAAATTTGTTTAAATTCAAATAAAATATATAGTAAAAACCTAATTATTACAGTTTATTGCATGAATTTCACTATAAAGGGTTTTACAAAAACCGTGAAACGTGTTTCGCTATACAATAGCTTCCTAGCTTAATTTACGCTTGAGGGAGCTATTCTATAGCGAAACGCGTGTCGCGGTTTTTTGTAAAACCCTTTATAGTGAAAATCATACAATAAACTGAATTGATTAGTTTTAATATCAAGTATCGGCCAGCTCTATTCAGCCACAAATATATAATTGTAAAAACGAAAACAAAGAATTTCATTATCTAAAAAAGTATTAACAGATTTGAAACCCATGATAAAAAAGTGATATGTTAAAAATGTAGGGCTGACATATTCGGATGATATTCAAACCTGGATCCTCACTTTCAAGGTCAACTTTAGTGCGAATCAAAGGGAACATGAAATTTCATGTTCAAATATGTATTTAAATCTACAATTGATGTGGCCCTTAATCCTACTTTACCATAACCAGGAACAATGACATAGATATAGACGGACTAATTTGTGTTTTCTTATATATCTCCTTTTAAATTATTTGAATTTATTTTTATGACTGATATATGTGTCCATTTTCTAACTTATTTAACATAAGATAAGTTTTGTCGATAAGAATGTTTGTTCTAACAAAACATATTTCTCTCTCTACCTACTTCCTTCGAGGTTCCCATTTAAAAATTGAAGTTCATTTATTTATATATAGGGGCAAGTCCAATTCAGATATAAGTAGTACAGTGCTATGTAGTACTTGATGCAATACAGTGGATTAAAAGTAAATTATAAGTACACTAGACATAATACAACAACACAAGCAGAGAGTATTAGATGGCTAGGTGAAGAATATGGTTTTTTTAAGTGGGAAAATGATATATTAAAGATTTGAAGGTTATTTAAAGAGTTAGCCAATCAAAGAGTTCTGGGAATAAAGTTGTTATATGAATAATTGAATCTGTGAAAAGAAACGTAAAACTTTTGCACCTGTCTAGTTGAACGACTGAGGACGTGTAAAGATATTTTTGGGAGAAGCTCAAGGCTGATACTGAGTCCGTTGATAATTTTGAATACAAGTATTAAATCTCTATGTATAGTCATAGTATACACGCATCTTGAAGGCAATATATCGCAGGAAATTGTGCTGTACAGCCTCGAGTTTCACTTTTTGTGTAACGTAAGTTGACCTTGAAAAGGAAATGCGGTTGAAGGCCATATCCAATTTGTCTCCTTCTCAAGAGTTTGAAATTATTTGGAATATTTTTTTTTGTGAGGATGTGATGAACCTAAAACTTGTTTCTCTTCATTTTTGCCTGAGTACATTTTCCATATTGGCAGCCCCTTCAATCTATTTTATCTATTGCATCTTACACACCAACCAATTTCTCGGTCTGCCGTGTATTTAACAATACAGACCACTGAGCTGGCAGAGATTCATCCCTTCAGAGTTGTGATAGTCTAGTTTTCACGTTTTCATTTTTTATCCAATAAATATTGAAAACTATTTGAATCTACAAAACATAATATTTTACAAATGACCATAAACAACTAACATAATTTGTAATAAGTGTCCATATCTAGACAACTGTTCATACATTCTGACCTAAGTGGATACCGCATTGGCGCAGTGCTATCTGGAGTCTTACATTTTTTTCAAATATTTTGGTAGAAATAGAGAATTCAAAAACAGTCATTATTGCACTTATAAACATATCTCTATGCCTAAAAGGTAACATTTCTGACCCAGTGCCAGATCCCACTTTGGCGCGAATGTATTAACATCAGTTCCAATGCTACAGAAGGCAACGTGATAAAGACTATCAGGGAGCTATGTTTCAGATCACACCAAAAATTATATTCAATACATTTAACGATTCCTTATTCTTGTAAAAAAAAATTATTTTTATTTTACATAATAAACAATGAAATTTACCAGTGGCACCATAATGTAGTCATCGTTTGATTCAGTAGAGGACTCCATTTTTAGCAAATCCGGTTTAGATTCTTCGCAATTTTCATTTTCGTCTAGTTCTTGTTTTTCAATTTCTGCACTGTCAGACTTTTCATCACTTTTTTCTACAGAAAGTCCCCCGAGAGGAATGAGGGGTACAAGCAAGTGGACAGAATCTTCCAAAGTCTTTACCTGTGATGGGTTGACAAATGCTCCTGGCATCATTGGTTTCTCAAGATCGACTTTGTGACTAAAAAAGAAGTAAGCACATATTATTAGCATGAGTTAAAACTGATTCATCCTAATTATGAACAATCATTAAAAATATAAAAAAATGTTTGTTCAATTTAACATTTTCACGAGGTTTCTTTACTAATATCAGCTAATAATTTATGACAAATATAGTTATTTATTTGACTATGTAACTCATACATGATATGGTTTATAGCAAGTCAGTCAGCGAGGATCAAGAAAGTCCTACAATAACATTATCTACCATAGCATCTATATGTATAAAAGTCACTGAATATAAAATTTATCACATTCCCAACTACATATTCTTCGAACAATAACTTCATTCAAAATGTCCAATGCTCGAAATCTGTACCATCGAACTGACAAATTCCTAACTTATCATCTAGCCTATAACCTTTCTTAATGTTGGGTTGACGAAAATTGAATGTTTCATTTGAGATTTTGCTGGTATTTTATTTTGTTCACTTAAAGTATGCCTCAGTGTATTCAAATCCAACTTTCAAAAACAGTATTAAACAAAAACGGCCATCGTCGAATTCCTAGCACCGAATTTTAAGCTGACGGAATTACAGTTGACTCGTGATAGTCGACGCTGCGCCGTATGAGTCATCGTTTTAGTGTAGTTGGTCTTATCTTAACCTATAAAACCAATTCATGTTGTGTTATGATTTCAATATTAAATAAATTTCTCTTCTTTTATAAAAACTAAAGCCTGACTTCATTACATAAAAATTCATCATCAACTAGATTTCCAAATTTATACACTGCAAATTCAATTAAATAGAGCCAATCTTTGATAATTCGACATTTTTGGTAATCCGACACCCCCGCGGTCCCGTAGTGTCGAACTATCGCGAGTCAACTGTAATAAACTGTTACGTTGGCAAAAGTAAACTGATTGAAATGGCGCTTATTTCGAGTAATCACTGAGATATTACAGTTTGAAGTAGACTCATAAAAACGGACAAAACTTTTGAAGCAACCTAATATCATCCAAAAAGGAAATTGCATAGGGGTTTCCTTAGGGATCAATCCTAGGACCCGTTCTACTTATTATTATTATTTATGTTAATAACATTAATCAATAGTAATTGTCGTAACATTTTGAATATGCTGATGATACCGGATCAGACATTTTCAAAAGGCTCAGGATTATTTCAGGAATTGTGTCCAAATAATGATAACACAAATTAAATCACAACCTTATTCTGGATAGTTTAAGGGTGAAATGTTTGGAAGTAACATTTCACAGTACTATGTCCTATGGAATTCTGTTATGAGGTGGATCTGCATATAAAAGTTCTTATAATACAAAAAAGGCTATAAGAGATAACAAATTCAGAATTTGATGAAAGTTTTTATGTGATTCAAAATAGATATGATACCCAGATATAGATCTGTTATAGTGCTATTCTTTGGCTTATCCAAGAATCCCAACTCTTTCAGATTTTTTGTTTATTGAATATTACAAGTCGATCCCAAACAAGTGGAAGGAACCGAATCTAGTTGGGTTTTCCAAAAAGGTAAAAAGTTTTCTGAACAAAATTGTATTTTATAAAGGTGAAGAAGAATATTACAAATTCATCCCAAAGAAGTGGAAGGAACTAAACTTTGTTAGATTTTCCAAAAAGTTAACAAAATTTGTATTATATAAAAAATAAAGAGTTTATAGATTCATTTAATGAAATGACGGTGCGATTTCAAGTTTTTTGTTATGTAATACAATATGTTTCTTAAACGGTGTGTCACAAAATTTTATGTGTTGATATTTTTAAGCTTTGAAGTTCTTGTAAAATTACATAAAAATAGTCAATCTCGTTTAAACTATTCATGTTTAGTTATTAAAAATAGCTCAAAATACTGTTTACAATTTTTGACTTGTCACACAATCTCTAGTCTACTTTACTACAAACAAATAGTTGTTCTGCCAAAGATTTTTATCACGTTTTATTTCTTTGTCTTCACACCATAATTCTAACAAAAGTTAGACCAAATATTACAAAAGTAACATGAAATTTCATAACAGGAAATAAAATGTTTGCATTGATAATTCCGGACTATAATAGAATTTCACTATTAACCGTGAAATGTTCTGCAGTATGTGATTGTGAAAAGAGGTATCATTTTAAATTTTTCATTTCCAGAACTGAGTTTCCGAAAACTATCCATTTTTTAATATTTTGAATCATGAGTAACTGGATATCCGAAAGTAGATCAAAGTTTTGACTCGCAAAAAAATTGTGAAAAACTAGCAAGAGCCCTCAAAACAAATAATTGCAAATGTTTCAAAGAAATTTAATTCCATTTTGTTAGCTTCTTGAGTGGAACCTGAGATGAAATTTGTTCTGCTGCAGGTTTGAGGGGTCAATGTACTCTTGGTTGGGATAAAAGGAACCAATAAACCTACTCTATATAATATTGTATGTCATTGGAAAGCCCTTGATAATATTGAAGCTCTTCAGATTTCTACCTAATCTTTTCGCAGTGTGTTCAACTGAGCAATATATACCTACTGCATTGGAGTTGACGCTCAATCGAGCAGGTAGTACTTCTCATGTCATTATAGTGTTGTATCAACCTTATTACATCGTGAAATATGGTTCCTAAAACCTCTGCCAAAAAGCAAACAGGGCTTTCAACATCATAGACAAGATGCCAATAAGAACCTTGTTTGAAGGTGCAAGGTTCATGAAAATCTGCAGGCTCGATTACATAGCAACTGAAGTGCCGCTATGGCAACTCAGCATAGTGACAAATAAAATTTAAATAATCCATTCGAAAACATTCTCAGGAATTTTGTCTGAACTTGTTACAATATACAAATATTTCAAGCACATAAAGTTTCTACAGAGGTTCCAGTTCTTTCTGTTAATATTAGTATACAGTACCAAATCAGAAACTATGCAACATAATCACTTACCAATCATCTTCTTTTCCACCTTGATTTTCTAAATTGGTTTTAGGTTGATTATTTATATTTCTTTCAGTATGTGTTGGGGAAAAGGTCAGCTTAGTTCGGTAGGAGACCGATAGATGAAATGTTCCAACATCAGAAGTAATTTGACCTATGCGTATACGTTTGTAATCCTCACCTAGACATTGTTCTTGTGGTTGTCCCATATATATTCTATAACACATAACATACGAATCGGGACCCTGCATTCGAGAAAGTTTATAAGCTGGAACAACTCTTGTTACTGACAGCAAAGATTTCAATAAAGTTCCCATTCGGTTATATACTATATTCGAAGGAACAGCTTCAGTATTTTCAGGTGATAAACTAAGACACCATGCCTCTAGAACCATTTGATCGCCTTCAGTCGTTTTCAATGAAATCTCTACACACATACGAAAATGTGAAAATTTCTCGCCATTTAAAACTCGTTTTGTCTCTAACAAAACTTCTGATGAGTCTTCGATATTCAAGTAAAACTGCAAAATATTGTCGTCTTAAAATCATTATTGATAAAAAGAAATCATTTTATACCCAAAAAGTACCAGTCACATCTGGTCTTGATTCTTTATTATGTTTTATGCCAAGCCGCGATTGCACAATAATTTGAGTTGCCTTAAGGGCAAAATATTTTGCATATTTCTGTTGCTTTTCTATATTCGCCTCCGATTTCATGATTGTATACACTTCAAGTACTTGAAGAACATGTGCTTTTTTTAATACCAAAATAACAATAACAACGCTTGTAAATAAATGAAAATGGATGACAGATGAATCTTCGCTACAAAATTTAATTTGTTTACATATGCAAAGAGTACACAACTACCAAGAGGCGAATGCTTGGTCGGAACCTCTGATGTTTGTTGTACAAGATATTCAGAGGAAATACGTCACAGCATTGACAGAGATACTAATTGACACACTGAGAAAAATAGCACAGGTAGTGATTCAAATTTGTACACTACGTTTTCGTTATGTAATATATTTTTTAAACTGAATTGTTGACAAAACTTTTACTATTGAATTTTGTAGGTGTAATTTTTATTCAAAGTCAGAAAACTTTCACTTTGAAACAAAATCTTGACATTTCTATTTATAGGATTCAAGTCTCTAAATTACAACACGAAGAAAATGGATTCAGACATAACTATGGTATGATCTCAGAAATGCTATGAATTTGGTTGGAATGGCTACAATTATTTGGTAAACAAAATATCAAACAACAAATGAAACTGAATTGAACTAAAAACGTTTTTCAATTTTAGTTTTTCAAACAAGTACATATATCAGAGGAACTTGAGTTATATATGAAGTTTGATGAAATTCAATATCTTTTATTTTGTAGTGTAGTGTAGCCTCATTGTTGATAGGCTGAAAAACACTTAAATGAAGCTTCACCATTTCATCAGTTACGATTAATTAAGTAGCTTACTATTTATAATTAAAGAATGAAGCTGAACTTCATTATATGGTCGACCCGTGGTCTAGCAATCTACGGCGTTGTTATATATCCGATTAGGCTATTTCAGTGCTGGTTCGAACCGCGAAACGTAACAAATTATGGGAATAAGGTACGGGTGTAGAAAAAAACCTGTAAATGATTGAAAAAAAGAAAACAACATACTTCCTGTATGATTTGTTTATTCATTAGTTTGTAACAAGGCCATCCAATAGGTAGAAATCCAATGGCAAAACGGCCATTTCCGAGATTAGGTAAATGCCAGAAATTAATCAAGAATTGGCAACCCTGCGATACATTCTGAAGACAGGAAGTATAGATTGACATTGACAGAAATACTAATTGTTTCGCGCATGTGCGCTGAAAATTTGTATCCCTAAAAATGCTTTTTTTCGCCTCTTGGTAGTTATCTACTCTTTGATATATGTGTGACCTATCGAGCGGGCAGTGCACCTTCACTATTCTGTGATCTTACGCCGTAGACTAGAGTTCGCAGATTATAAATGTTCTGAGACAAGAGTTCCATGCATCTTATTATACATTGAAATAAGGTTTTTAAAATACCCTGCCAAAAGACGGACAGGACTTTCAACATATCATTGGCAAAGATGCCATTAGGAACCTTATTCGAACGTGCAATAAGGTTCATGAACATGGAACGAAATACTTGCTTTACTTGCAAATAAATGAAAATCCCATCAAAATCCTTACACAGCTCAAGGCCCCCACAGACGTCGTTCTTTTTCGACAGGATTACCCGACGTGCAAAACTGTTCGGGCAATCACGTGGTGGAGCCCACATACTGTTCGGTTTAGTTTTCACTATTGTCTTTGTCATGAAGACGATAGTGGCGTTAGCTGCAGTTTTAGCAATAAAAGTAAATATGCTAAAACTCTCTAAATGGACAAAAGAGTGGTTTCTAAAAAGAAAACCATTCTCTCACGTTAATTTATTGGAGGAATTGCGGTTAGAACCAGATACATTATCATGCACAGTGTACGTGATCTTCCAGACAAGGCTGCTTGTACAGAGTGGCACTATGGAACGACCTATTTTTTTTTCTATAATATGCGGCTGGGTATAGGAATTTTTTTTAGGTGGAGTGTAGGGACACGAATTAGCAGTTTCTTCAGTCGTATCAGTACTTGACATTTCAAAAGTTTTAAACTTCGAAAAACCGTATATGTACACATTACAGGCGTTAAAACCAAAGTGACCACTCCGACACTGTAACATGAATTCCGCCAGCCGATTACAGTTGAATCTGATAGGTCAGTGTAAAGAGGCTTGTTTATTTTATAGTGATTATGCTTGAATCACTCATCTATCTTTGTTTGGGTTGTTTGTTAGATGGAGATACATTGAAGTTTTCGAATTGGACATATGAAAACTCAAGCCAGCAAGATATAAATATATGAATGTGAAATATAACATGAGAGTATCACAGATTTATCGATTCGTGGGAGTACATGTTTGTATAGCTGATCATGTAAAAAAAAACTTGTAAGACAGATAAAAACCCATTTTTTAAAGAAATATAAATATTAAAATACAATGAAATGAACCATCGCATATATCATGTCCATAGTGGGAAAAACTATGGAAATTTTGCTAACCAATACTATTTTCTATCCCAACTTCCACCATAAAAATTATTCCATGTTACACAACGAATCAAAAATTAGATTTTTGAAAGTATGCCGTCTGCCTTCTCTGATTGTCAGTGGTAAATGATTGTATAATTTGATTGCCATATACCGTGGATCTCTTTCTGAATTTCTTGGTCTAGGAAGAATTACATTCGATTTGTGACTAGTAAAGTACTCGTGAAAGTTTTTATGAATGATGACTTTTTTCTTTATTGTCATACACGAAAATAACACGAACATAAATATAAATCCCATATATAGTAATTTATTACTTTCAAAAATATTACGGCAAGAGCATAGTCTTTAATATACGTTCTTATACATAATAAAAATGCCATTTCAAAAACTACATCTCACGATTTGATCTCCACAAACTTTATTTGAAAAATTTATCACAAAATGTTTCGCTAACACAGTTAGCGAAACATTTTGTGATATAGTTAGTTATCTTCGATATCATCAATGTTGCCAATGCTGGGTGATTTATCACCAGATTCGGTGATTTTCATGTGAATGTGGTGATTTGTTGATTATTTTTCATATTTTTGTGATATTCTGGTGATTTTTGTTTTTTTATGACACATTTGAAATTGAGAGAGAAGAACGCTGCGCTTGTCAATCGCATAGCCCGGTAACTGAAAACAACAACCTCGCATTCTTATTATCGGCATGAGCATGAGCAATCACATATCTTCTGTTCCCTATTTAAATGCTAAATCTAACCCATTTTTTTTTGAATCTTTATAAATTATGAAAAATATCCAAAAACACATGCAGAAAGCTTCTTCTGTAAAATTTCAACAACCAGAAATACTGTTACAACTTTGAAAATTCTGATAGTAGGTATACTAAAGAAATGTGATCATTAAATGTACGAATCAAAATAATAGTACTAGGTAGTTGATGACCAAAATATACTTGGCAATTAATTTTCTGTTCGTTTTTGTTCAAATATTCATTTACAAGAGAGTTCTGTTTATTTTTGTTAAAATGTTAATTTATTAGAGAGTTCTGTTTTTTTATTTATTGTGTAAGCATGAGTATTTATTTCAATATATTTTCTGTTCCAAACTTTATATTTAGTTTTGGTCACAATTTCCCCAATCATTTTTCGTTCAATAGGCAGAATTTCTGAAATCTGGTAATATTTTTTCAAATCTGGTCATTTTGCTTCAGATTTGGTGTAACACTGGACTTCGGCTTAAATCCGTAATAAAATTAAATCTTAACCAAACGTTTGAAGGAAAACGTGTTTATATTGTCCCTAAAAGTATATTAAAGGAATAATTTAATTACCAGTGTCATAGGAAAAAAAATAAGTGGAATACAAAACATTCACACTATGTTGGAATTCAAAGACGCTAGATCATTTATATACAAATTCTAAATGCTGCCATATTATGGGACCCATGACCCATAATATGGCAGCATCGACACTTTTTTAGTTGGAATCCAAATTGTAAACAATTTATTATACCTATTTTGCAAAATAAAGAAAATAGTCGAACGAATTTTCACAAATTTGTTTGTGAGTTTGGCCAAGGGGGATAAGACATATTTGAAGTTTCCAATACGCGCTTCACCACAACTGTACTTTCCTCAGTTTGACCGGTATTCTACACTGAACTTTCAATTTAATTGAAATGAGGGTCATTTGAATCAGTGCACTTTTGCCATTGCAACACAATTGGAAAAAGTGAACTGATTGATTTCACCAGCATAAAAATTGTGTACTTCGGGATTCGATGAAGTCGACGGAAGTCGTTTTTGCCTGGTTCTGGTTGACGAAAGAAATTCGATGCATGATTTTCTGCGAAAAACACCACTCACATCCCAATTATAATACAGTACACCACTCGGATATTCGAATACAAAAAATGTTCCAATGTACTGCCTACACCAAAAAAGACAGGAAAAATTCTCTAATGTCATCGTTACTGTAGAAATTCATTTCGAGCCTTCTGAGGCCGCCACATGAATATTTTCTCTAGTTTGACGGATAGTAAGGTAAAAGTAATATTCAGCATACACACAAAATAACTTATTTTTCAACATACCTGTCTTGAGAAATGATCTTATTTTCCAGTGAGGCCACTCTGATTATGATCCCATTAGCAAGTACCTTGTGTTTCCTTTTGATTTCGGTGAAAAAACTAATAAATGTATCGAAACAATGCTTCTTCTTTTTCAATTAACACTTAATTGTGAATTTGGTAACATTTTGTTAATTTTGTTCTTCCCAAGGACATTGGTTGCGGTTGATAATTAAATGAGTTTTTCAATGGAACCAGTTTAATCTTACTATTATCGTGTTCAATATTTGTAATGACTGTAAACTATTTTTATTTGATAAGCATGCCCCCGTTTGCTCAAGTAATAAAAAATATAGAAGTCTTCCTTATATAACATACAACCTCAAACTAATGATGCACATTAGAGATAGGGCCCATGCCAAATATTTGAAAAATAGAACACCTGCTAATAGGAAATATTATGTCGATTTACGTAATTACATCAATGATGCGTTGAAAAGAGAGAAAAAAGCGTACATACAGTACGTTCTAAATAAAAACAAAAATAACAATAGAATGATATGGAAAACATTTTCTAATTGGGGTATTACTACAAAGTCTGGCCAGCAAAATACTTATTTACCTGAGGAGCTACAAAATCCAGAAGAAACCAACGATTATTTCCTGAATGTTTCAGGTAACACTTCAATAAACAATGATACTTTCGCTTTCTAT